GCCTCGGAGGGATGCCTCGGAGGGACACTTCAGAGGGACACCACAGAGGGACGCCTCAGAAGGACGCCTCGGAGGGACGCCTTGGAGGGACACTTCAGAGGGACGCCTCGAAGGGATGCCTTGGAGGGACACCTCAGAGGGACACCTCAGAGGGATGCCTCAGAGGGACACTTCAGAGGCATGCCTCGGAGGGACACTTCAGAGGGACACCTCGGAGGGACGCCTCGGAGGGATGCCTTGGAGGGACACTTCAGAGGGACGCCTCGGAGGGATGCCTCAGAGGGACACTTCAGAGGGACACCTCAGAGGGACGCCTCGGAGGGATGCCTTGGAGGGACACTTCAGAGGGACGCCTCGGAGGGATGCCTCAGAGGGACACTTCAGAGGGACACCTCAGAGGGACGCCTCGGAGGGATGCCTTGGAGGGACACTTCAGAGGGACGCCTCGAAGGGATGCCTCAGAGAGACACTTCAGAGGGACACCACAGAGGGACGCCTTGGAGGGACGCCTCAGAGGGACGCCTCAGAGGGACGCCTTGGAGGGACTCCTCGGAAGCCCTCCTCAGAGGAACACGGCCGCATCACCCCCAGGGAGCTCTACGCTACCAGAGATGGAGAAGCACCCAGACCAGCCCCCACTGCAGGTCACACTCCTGCTGAGAAAATGAGTCTCACAGTGGACCTCTGACACCGAAATCTTTAGGCAACCTGTTTTACTTCAGCTTGTTGGTTAGAAACAGGTCACACGGATGGGTCAGTCAGGGCAGAAGGACAAGGCGGGGAGGCTGGGGTGGGAGCCGAGTGCGTCACTCACCTCAGGAGGTGCTCCGCCACAGAGGTGTGTGCTGTGAGCTGTCCGTGGTACAGGGCCTCGGAGGCCCACTGCATGATGGCGTGGTGCATGCGGTACTGCACTGTCAGCATGCGCACCACACCCTCGCCGTGCCGCTCCGTCAGGCGCTCCATCAGGCTGAGCGACAGCCCCGCCAGCGCGGCCCTGTGCCCAGGGAGGAATGGGGAGAGGGCCTGAGCAGGGGCCACGGCAGGACCCTGGGGCCAGATGGGAAGAGGAGAGGAACAGAGAGGGGCACCGCCAGCGCGGCCCTACGCCCAGGGAGGAATGGGGAGAGGGCCTGAGCAGGGGCCACGGCAGGACCCCAGGGCCAGGTGGGAAGAGAGGAACAGGGGGACTCCACCAGCGCGGCCCTGCACCCAGAGAGGAACAGGAAGAGGGCCTGAGTGACTGAAGTACTTTTCAATGCCTCTTTCTCAGAGGCACCTGGCCTAGACAACCCTCCCCTGCCCTCCGGGAGGTCCCTTGAAAGTCGCTCTTGCACGTCACTTTTTCTGGCCCTCAAGTTCAATCGTGACTTCTAGACACACACAGTGAGGTAGAGAACTGCTTCGCAAAGCAACAGACGTAAGAAGATAATCAAGAAGAAAATGACGCGAATGTCTTTCTGGACATGGACTCTGGAGCTGGCACTGGCTCAAACAGAGCCCCCATGCCAGGCCCTGTTCCCAGGCCACATGTAACTGACGTGCTAGGTGGGAAGACAAGCAAATGAAGAGAGAAATACACAGTACTGCCAGTCAGCGACTGGGGGAAAGAATAACTAAACAAGCTGTAGAAGGGGCTTGAGGCTGACAGGGATACTGCTCACACAGGGCAGTGACGGGAGACCACGCTGGGTTTTCATCTGAGCAGAGAACCAAACGAGGGCGGACGCAACCTACCCACTCTCTGGGGAAGGAGTGGTCCAGGCAGAGGTAGGTGTTGCGGCCGAGTGGTGGGAAATGAGGTGGGGGGCCCAGGCTGGACAGTCTAAGCTGGGTCACAATGCTCACCAACACTGCATCTCCGCAGTGGGCAGACCACAGCTCACCATGTCTACTACTTCCGTCCCCACAGATGGAGGAGCCTACAGTCATGACTGGAGGAACCCCTGCTGGGTCACGTGCTAACCGATCCAGAGGTCAGCTAGCACGACCCACAGAACACACCTCCACGTGGGATTCCACACAGCATGGACGCTCGCATCAAGCCTGCTGGATTCATTAACCCGCTGCTGTCAAGTCGATTCCGACTCATGGTGACCCCATGTGTGAGGAGCAGTACTACTCCATGGGGTTTTCAAGGCTGTGACCTTTCAGAAGCAGATCACCAGGCCTGTCTTCTCAGACGCCTCTGAATGGGTTTGAACCACCCACCTTTTGGTTAGCAGTCAAGTGCTTAACCGTCTACACCACCCAGCAACCTGTGGGATTCTTCAGGAGAGATTTAATTTAAATCAGCGACTCCTGACTGAGCACTGGTAACGTGCCGGTCGCTGTGCAGGTTCTGACGAATGTGGTACAACCCTGCCCTCAAAGAGCATGGAGCCTGAGGGAAGGTGAGAAGTCTGAAGGAATAAATGCACTGAAACGGGCAGGGGGGGCACCAGGAAATATGAAAACAAGGGCACAACCTCAGCTTCCTGGGGAGCCCAGGGTGACCCAGGACCACGAAGGCTGAGGAGAGAGGGGAGGGGAGGAGTAGAGAGGTGCTTTAGGCGGAAGGGACTTACTTGTGTGAGATCACAGTGGGGGGCAGCTGTTTGTGATCCCCAGCCAGGATGCACTTCCTGGCCTTCAGCAAAGGAATCCAGCAGCTCGCTTCCAGGGCCTGGGCACACTCATCAATGACTACCACGTCAAAGTAGTTCTCGGGCAGCAATTTTAAAGGGCCATCAGAAGAAGCACCTGGTTGAAATAAGAACCAAAGCCTTTACGGGGGTTGTGGCTTCTAACAACACTAAACATAAATGCTCTAATCACCCCAATTAAAAGGCAGAGACTGTCAAACTGTATAAAAAAGCAACACTCAACTATGTGCTGTCTAAAAAAAATCACTGTAAATGTGAAGACACAAATAGGTTACAAATAAAAGGATGGGAAAAGATATGCCACGCTAACACCAGTCAAACAAAAGCTGGAGTGGTTCTTTTAATATCAGACAAAACAGATTAAAAAAAAAAAAAATACCAGGAATAAAGCAGGCCATTTCATAATGAAAATTGGTTAATTAATCAAGAGATCATAACTTAAACTTTTATGCCTGTCTTAGTTACCTAGTGCCGCTATAACAGAAATACCACAAGTGGATGGCTTTAACAAAGAGAAATTTATTTCCTCCCAGTAAAGTAGGCTAAAAGTCCAAATTCAGGGCATTAGCTCCAGGGGAAGGCTTTCTCTCTCTGTCAGCCTTCTTCATCAATGTTCCCTAGACTAGGAGCTTCTCCTTGCAGTGACCCTGGGTCCAAAGGATGCACTCTGCTCCATGCACTGCTTTCTTGGTGATATGAGGTTCCCTCTCTGCTCACTTCCCTTTTTATCTCTTGAGAGATAAAAGGTGGTGCAGCCCACAACCCAGGGAAACTCCCTTTACAATGGATTAAGGATGTGACCTGGGTAAGGGCGTTACAATCCCACCCTAATCCTTCTTAACATAAAATTACTATCACAAAATGGAGGACAACCACACAATACTGGGAATCATGGCCTAACCAAGTTGACACGCACATTTTTGGGGGAACATAATTCAGTCCCTAACAATGCCCCTAATAACAGAGCTTCCAAAGACATGAAACATAAGACAATGGAACTGCAAGGAGAAACTGACAAACGTGCATTTGGAGTCACAGATTTCAACACTCCCTCTCAATAAGTGATAGAGCAAGCAGACAGAAAACCAACAAGGATTAGCAAGGGAACAGTTCTGACACACAGCGCCAGAAGACGAGCCCCTCAGGTGGAAGGCACTCAAAATATGACTGGGAAGAGCTGCCTCTTCAAAGTAGAGTCAACCTTAACAGCATGAATGGAGTCAAGATTTCGGGACCTTCACTTGTTGATGTGGCATGACTTGAAACAAGAAGAAACAGCTACAAACATCCATTAATAATCGGAATGTGGAATGTACAAAGTATGAATCTAAAATTTGAAGCTGTCAAAAACTAAATGGAATGCTTGAAGATTGACGTATTAGGCATTAGTGAGCTGAAAAGGACTGGTATTGGCCATTTTGAAACAGACAATCATATGACAAATTGAAGAGAAATTCATCATCAAAAAGAACATTTCAAGATTGATCCTGAAGTTCAACGCCGTCAGTGACAGGATAACCTCCTATCGCCTACAAGCAAGACCAGTTAATACGACTATCACTCAAACTTATGCACCCACCACTAAGGCCAAAGATGAAGAAATTGAAGATTTTTACCAACTTCTGCAGCTGAAATTGACCAAACAAGCAATCAAGATGCTGATAATCACTGGTGTTTGGAATGCAAAAGCTGGAAACAAAGAAGGATCAGTAGTTGGAAAATATGGCCTTGGTCAGAGAAACAAAGCCGGAGATCACATGATAAAATTTTGAAAACCAATGATCTATTCATTGAAAATGCTTATTAACTGCAAACACCTTTTTTCAACAACATAAAAGACGACTATACACGTGGATCTCGCCAGATGGAACACACAGGAATCAAACTGACTAGATCTGTGGAAAGAGATGATGGAAAAGCTCAATACCATCAGTGAGAACAAGGCCAGGGGCCAACTGCGGAACAGACATCAATTGCTCATATGCAAGTTCAAGCTGAAGCTGAAGAAAATTACAAGTCCAACCTTAAAGTACAACCTTGAGTATATTCCACTTGAATTTAGAGATCACCTCAAGAATAGATTTGACGCACTGAGCACTAATGACCGAAGACCAGACAAGCTGTGGAATGACATCAAGGACACCATACATGAAGAAACCAAGAGGTCATTAAAAAGACAGGAGGGCCAGAGGGCAGAAGGGGACAAGGAAGTTGGTGATAAGGAACCCAAGGTTGAGTAAGGGTATTGTTGATGTGTTGTGAGATTGTTAACCATTGTCATAGGGCAACATTTGTAGTAACTGTTAAATGAGAAACTATTTTATTCTGTAAGCCTTCATCTTAAGTGAGAATAGCAACACAATTGGAAGAGCGTAGTCAATGTCACTGAACTGTGCATACAGAAATTTTTGAAATGGTGTATATTTGGCTATGGGTATTTTCACCAAAAAAAAAGGTTGAGAAGTTAGATGTTGTGGGGTTGTTAACCAATGTCATAAAACAATATGTGTACTACTGTTTCATGAGAAACTATTTGTTCTGTAAGCCTTCACCTGAAGTACAATAAAAAAAAGACAGGAAAGAAAGAAAAGATATAAAATGGATGTCAGAAGAGACTCTGAAACCTGCTCTTGAACATGGAGTAGCTAAAGCCAGAGGAAGAAACGATGAAGTAAAAGAGTGAACAGAATATTTCAAAGCGTGGCTTGAGAAGACAAAGTAAAGTATCATAATGAAACACAAAAATGTGGAGGTAGGAAACCAAAAGGGAAGACCATGCTTGGCATTTCTCAAGCTGACAGAACTAAAGAAAAAACTCAAGCCTCGAGTTGCATACTGAAGGATTCCATGGGCAAAATACTGAACAACGCAGGAAGCATCAAAAGAAGAAGGAAGGAATACACTGAGTCACTGTACTGAAAAGAACTGGTCGACGTTCAACCATTGCAGGAGGTAGCAGATGATCAAGAACCGATGGTACTGAAGGAAGAAGTCCAAGTTGCACTAAAGGGAATGGCAATAAACAAGGCTCCAGGAATTGACGGAATACCAATTGAGATGTTTCAACAAATGGATGCAGTACTAGAAGCGCTCACTCGTTTATGTTAAGAAATTTGGAAGACAGCTACCAGGCCAACTGACTGGAAGAGATCAATATTTGTGCCCATTCCAAAGAAAGGTGACCCAACAGAATGTGGAAATTATCAAACAATATCATTAATATCACACACAAGTAAAATTTTGCTGAAGATCATTCCACAACCGTTGCTCCAGTACATTGACAGGAAACTGCCAGGAATTCAAGCCAGATTCAGAAGACGACGTGGAACAAGGGATATCACTGCTGATGTCAGATGGATCCTGGCTGAGAGCAGAAAATACCAGAAAGACATTTACCTATGTTTTATTGACTATGCAAAGACATTCAACTGTGTAAACCAAACCCGTTGCCGTCGAGTCAATTCTGACTCAAAACAACCCTATAAGACAGAGTAGAACTGTCCCACAGGGTTTCCAAGGAGCAGCTGGTAGATTCAAACTGCCAACCTTTTGGTTAGCAGCTGAACTCTTAACCACTGTGCCAACAGGGTTCTATTCGATTGTGTGGATCATAACAAATTATGGATAACACTGGAAAGAATGGGAATTCAAGAACACTTAACTGTGCTCATGAGGAACCTGTACATAGACAGTTGTTCGAACGGAACAAGAGAATATCGCGTGGTTTAAAGTCAGGAAACGTGTGCATTAGGGTCATATCCTTTCACCATACCTATACAATCTGTATGCTGAACAATTAATCTGAGAAGCTGGACTATATGAAGAAGAATGTGGCATCAGGATTGAAGGAAGACTCGTTAAGAACTTGCGATATGCAGATGACCCGACTTTGCTTGCTGAAAGTGAAGAGGACTTGAAGCACTTACTGATGAAGATCAAAGACCATAGCCTTCTGTATGGATTACACCTCAACATAAAAAAAACAAAAATCCTCACAACCGGACCAATAAGTAACATTATGATAAACTGAGAACATACTGACATTGTCAAGGATTTCATTTTACTTGGATCCACAATCAACGCCCATGGAAGCAGCAGTCAAGAAATCAAACGATGTACTGCAATGGGCAAATCTGCTACAAAAGACCTCTTTCAAGTGTCGAAAAGCAAAGATGTCACTCTGAGGACTAAGGTGCGCCTGACCCAAGCTTGTTATTTTCACTCGCCTCACATACATGTGAAAGCTGGACAGTGAATAAGGAAGGCTGAAGAAGAACTGATGTCTTTCAATTATATTGAATATACCACAGACTGCCAGAAGAATAAACGAATCTGTCCTGGAAGAACTACCGGCAGAAGAGAGAACAGCGAGACTTCATCTTAGGTACTTCAGACATGTTATCAAGAGGGACAAGCTCCTAGAGAAGGACATCATGTTTGGTAAAGCAGAGGGTCAGTGAAAAAGAGGAAAACCCCCAATGAGAGGGACTGACACAGTGGCTGCAACAATGGGCTCGAACACAGCAATGATTGTGAGGACGGCGCAGGGCCGGGCAGTGTTTCGTTCTGTTGTACACGGGGTCGCTGTGAGTCGGAATTGACTCGATGCACCGAACAGTAACAAAATTTAAAGAAAAGCAAACCCTGAGAAGCACTGATTGAAACATGAACAAACAGTGGACATGCAACATTCCCAGATATTCCACATTCTATTCCCTAATGGAGTCTCAATTCAATCTGAAATGACTCAAGTCAGGTAACGTAGGTCCTCTAACCACAGTGGAATTAAATTAGAAATCAACAACAGAAAGATACCTAAAAAAATCTCCAAATGTTTGGAAAGTAAATAACACAGTTCTAAATAACCATAAGTCAAAGAAAAAAATCAAAAGGGAAGTTAGAAAGAATTTTGAAATGAATGAAAATACAACATATCAGAAAATGGGGGATGCCACCAAAGTAGTACTTGGGGGGACAGTGGCAGCACTAAGTGTCTGTGTCACAGAAGAAAGAAAAGTCTCAGCTCAATGACTTCAGCTTCTACCTCAAAAAGCTAAAAAAAAGAGAAACAAATTAAACCCAAGTCAGCAAAAAAGGAAATAATAAAGATCAATGCCCAAATCAATGGAGTAGAAAACAGAAAAATAATAAAGCAACGAAAGCAAAATCGTTTCTTTAAAAAGATCAATAAAGTTAATACACCTCTAGCCAAAATAATCAGGAAAAAAAGAGAGAGAGGTTACAAACTATTAATGCCAGCAATGAGAGAGGCGACATCATTAGAGTGTCTACAGAAAGTAAATGGATAATACGGGACTACTGTGAACAATTTCATGTCCGTAAATTGACAACTAAGGTAAAACGGACAAATTCTTTGAAAGATATGAGCTCATTCAAGCAGAGAGAACTCGACAACCAGACTGGAAATGAAGAGAACGTTGACACACTGTGAAAGATGTAACAAATGTCACTGAACGATTCGCGTAAAAAACCAAAACCAAACCCGCTGCCATGGAGTCGATTCCTGGAAGTCGGAATAGTATGTAGAGAACCTAATTCGCTGTGTAAACTTTCACCGAAAGCACAATAAAATATCATTTGAAAAAAAAGAAGAGAGAACTTGAATAGTCCTGCGTCTATTAAGGAAATCAAATACGTAGCGAAAACCTTCCTGCGAAGAAAACCCCAAAGTACAGAAGGCTTCACAGGTAGATTATACCCAGCATTCAAGGAAGAAATAATACCATTTCTACCCAAACTCTTCCAGAAACCTCAAGAGGAGGAAAGGCCCCCCAGCTGGCTGAGGCCTGCCGAGAGGGACGGACAAGGACCGCTCACCGGTGTTGGTTGCGAGGACCACGCGGGCCAAGGTGAGGATTTCCAGCACGGCCGCGTCTTCCCTCTCCTTCAGTTCTTTCCTTAACTGCTTAATCTCATTTCGAAAACTACTCTTCTCTCTCTTATCCTGGGTCTTTTTGTTTTTCACCTATAAGGGGAAGCAAAGAAAACATGACTATTTTGACACACTCCACACTTATTTAGCTCTTTTTCATTGATGATCAGCTTTTATTTATAATCAGTTCGTCCAGCTTGGCAGGCTCCTTAAAAGCACTAAAATGTCAAAAACTTTTCTTGAAGAAGCAACAGATACACACAAGTGACAAAGCCCCTGACATCCTCACTTGCCTTATAAACCAAGCCTGAGGCTGCCAAGTCAATCCCAACTCACGGCGATCCCACGTGTGCAGAGGAGAACTGTGCTCCGTAGGGTTTTTAAGGCTGTGACCTTTTGGAAGTGGAACACCAGGCCTTTCTTCTGAAAGACATGTAACCCTTTCCTTATTTGTGACGGCTGCTTTGGGGACGGGTTTTGGCAGGGGTAACAGGACATAACTTACTATATGTGACAGCACACATTTTCTCATACCTAATTCGCAGAGAAGAAAATTCTGAAAAGCACGGATTTAAACAGGAGCAAGACAATGAAATGACCCCAATCTGAGACACAGCAAGTCACCTCACAGCATGTTCCCACTCGCCTTTATCAAAGAGAGACGCTGTGTCCTGTTCCTCACCTCCAGAGCATGTGAAGTGTCCCTGCCGTGGCCACTGATGTTCCTCTGGCACCAGAGCAGCCTCTCTGCTGGAGGCCCCAGGGAAGGCCACTGGCGCCCAGCAACCTGCCCTGCCGTCGCCAGCTGTCCAAGGCTAGGACATCAAGGCGGGATCATGAGATGCAGGGAGGCTGCTGATGGGGACTCAGCAGGACGGGACGAGTAATTAGGGAAATTGGGGGAACATGTAAACCAGAGAAGCCAAGTGCTTGAAAGGACTGGACTTGCCTTCTAGAAAAAATGCATCTCAAAGGGAATCCCCACCTACCTAGCTCCCAGGCTACGCGTGCTCTCTTCTGCAATGACAACATAAAAACGGGCAAAAAAGGCTTCCCAAGAATACATACACTTTAAACTTTTATTTTTAGGTTTTTTTTTTCTTGCAATTATATAGACAATGTGCTCAGTTATGGGGAGGCATTTACAAACATGTCTTCTTTACGATAATCCCTCACCTACATACAAACTTACCTCAAGGACAGCTAGGTCCCTACAGAACACCGAGTATAGTTCTCTGTCAAAAATGGGCCATCCCAGAATTTCAAATTCTCATGGAATCCAGACTTTCTGGAGCTCTGGAGGCTGGATGAACCCCCGAAACTATTGCCCTGAGAGAATCTTTAAACCTTAAACCAAATATATCTCCTGAAGTGTTCTTAAAACCAAACAATAGTTCAGTTTAACTAGTAAAGAATGTCTGCCTTGAGCATTGTGCTCTTTTAAGATCTATCTACATGGAATCGAATTGACAACAGCAACTCAAAAGGTTAGACAGGAACCTTAGGGGGCAGCGAGTTTATGTTGATGTGGGAGGAACAACTCAAAAAAGGAGTGGGAGAATGGTTGCACAACTAGAAGAATGTGATCAATGTCACTGAACTGTACATGTAGACATTGTTCAACTGGTGTATGTTTTGCTGTGTATACTTTCAACAACAGTGAAAATAAATTATAAAAAAAGTAATGATTAATAATAGCATTTTATGATCAGAGCTAAAAAAAAAAAAGGAGCAGCCCCAGTTGCTGAAATTATTAACTGAACAGACAGAGGCAGGAGAAAGCAAAGAGGACAACATCCAGACACAGCACACTCCTTAAAGAGACTGGAAATCAAGTGGGCGCTGGTGAAGAGACACTTACAAAGACATGGTCGATGTCCTTCCTGATGTCTGCGACAATCTGGGCACTGTCACTTCGCGCCAAAACCGCATCCAGGGAGTGCTGCTGAATGGACTCCAGCAGGCGGGCCGGGTGTCCCAGGCGCAGGACCCTCTGCTCACAGCCGGCCAGGCGTTCCACGAGGTTGTCTACCGCGACGTTCGAGGGCGCGCAGCACAGGACCTAGGGAAAGCAGCACAAAGTTCAAACCAGGCTCTGGTCGTTCATCACTTTACACATACGTGTATGCTGGCACCGTGGTTAAGTACTCAGCTGCTAACTGAAAGGTGAGCAGTTCAAACCCACCAGCCACTCCATGGGTGAATAATGTGGCAGTCTGCTTCTGTAAAGATTACAGCCTTGGAAGCCCTATGGGGCAGCTCTCCTCTGTCCTGCAGGGTCGCTGTGAGTCAGAATCGACTTGATGGCAACACGTTTAGTTCTTCATATCTACATGTATGTCTACGTATATATATGCATTTTTTTAATAATATTTTATTGTTTTCTCATTCTTTGATGGTTACGAGGGTGGGGAGGGAGAGTGAAGGTTATTTACCAACTAGATAGTAGATAAGAATTATATTAGGTAAAGGGAAGGACAGCACACACTACAGGGGAAGTCAGCACAATTGGACTAAACCAAAGCTAAGAAGTTTCCTGAATACAATCAAACACTTTGAGGGACAGAGTAGCAGGGGTGGGGGTCTGACCATGCTTTCAGGGGACATCTAGGTCAACTGGCATAACAAAGCTTATTAAGAAAATGTTCTGCATCCTACTTTGGTGAGTGGCATCTGGGGTCTTAAAAGCTCGCAAGCGGCCATCTAAGATTCATCAATTGGTCCCAACCACCTGGAGTAAAGGAAGATGAAGAACACCAAAGACACAAGGAAAGTAGTGGCCCAAGAGACAGAGAGGGCCACATAAACCAGAGACTTCATCAGCCAAAGACCAGAAGAACTAGATGGTCCCCAGATACCACCAATGACTCCCTGACAGGGAACACAACAGAGAGTCCCTGATGGAGGAGAAAAGTGGGGTGCAGAACTCAAATTGTAGTAAGAAGACCAGACTTAATGGTCTGAATGAGACTGGAGGAACCCCGGAAAGCATGGGCCCCAGACTCTCTATCAGCCCAGAACTAAAACAATTTCTGAGGCCAACTCTTCAGACAGGGATTGGACTGGACTGTGGGACTTAAAGTGATACTCGTGAAGAGTGTGCCTCTTAGCTCAAGTAGATACAAGGGACTAAACAGGCAGCTTCTGTCCGGAGGTGAGATGGGAAGGCAGAGAGGGTTAGGAGCTGGTTGAATGGACGTGGGGAATCAGGGGTGGAAAGGAGGAGTGTGCAGTCACAATATGGGGAGAGCAACTGGGGTCACATAACAATCTATGTATAAAATTTTTGTATGGGAGACTAACTTGAAATGTAAACTACATTTAAACAAAGATTTAAACTACGACAATAAACAAAAAAAAATTTTTAGTGTATTTTGAGTGAAGGTTTACACAGCAGTTTAGGGTCCCATTCAACAATCCTACACTAATTGTTCAGTGACATTAGTTATATTCTTCACAATGTGTGACATTCTCAACGTTTCCGTTCTGGTTGTTCCTCTTCCGTTAAACTAGTTTCCCTGCTCCCTTACCTTCCCATCTTAGTTTTAAATAATTGCTGACCATTTGCTCTCGTGTGGATAGATGAATTTTTTAAAAGAGCACAGTACTCAAGGGTGACCTTCTTTATTTTGTGAGCCAATCCATCATTTAGCTACAAGGTGACCTCAGGGGTTAGTTTGGCTCAAGGTTTAAAGAGTATCTCAGAGTAATAGTCTCAGGGAGTCCTCCAGTCTCAATTGGTCCAGTAACTCTGGCCTTTTTTCCCCTAGGAATCTGAGGCCCACATTCTTCTCCCATTCTATCAGGGTCCATCTATTGTGGCCTGCTCATTTATATCTTAATCAAACCACTGAAGTTCACACTAAGACAAACCGAAAGCCTGAAGAATAAAGACAGAAGGGTGGAGTGTGTAATTGGTCATTTTAATGTGTGAGTATGCAGCTGTAAGGATGGGTAAAAATAGCCTAAAGAACACGCCTGACTGCAAACTGACGAAGTATGTGGGTAACGACAAGCTATGTGTTAAAAACGTGCCGGTCACCAAGGCCCCAGCAGGGTTAAGTGACTCGCAGAAGGAAAAAAAAGGACGGGGGGCGGGGGTGAGTGTGCCCTGAAACCATCAGGCCTGGGGCACTCGTCCACCGACCAGACTATCCTATCACTGACTGGGACAAAAAGGGGACTTCCTCCTGAATGGGCTCCACCTCCTTCAGCAACTAGAACTCTACTCCTAGAAGCAGGTGGCAGCGGGCAGAGGTGGCCGAGAGGATAGACCAGGAAGGAGGCAGTAGCTGCCACCCCCACACGCTCCTGGCACGGCCTCCGTCCCCGCGCCCTCCTGGCACGGCCTCCGTCCCCACGGACGCAGCTGGAAGCAGCGAGCACTGCATCTGCTGTTTCGCTTTGTTTATCGAAACAAGAGGCACCCAACCAAAACCACCAATCTGCTTCCTGCCAATAAGCCATCTTTTCTTCCCACCTTCCAGATGCCCAGGCCAACCAAGGTGCACACTGGCAGGAAAACCACTGATGGCAGTTCTCTAACTGAGGGACAGATTTCCCGGTACGTGTTATCTGTGGCCACTTTCTGCTACGACAGCAGAGTCGGTTTGCAAAACAGACCATGTGGCTTGTGAAGCGTGGAAGATTCACTCTCTGTCCCTTTGCAGAAGCAATGTGCCCTTCTGCTCAGTTCTGAGAGGCAGCAGAGAGGGAGCGAGGCTCAGGGAGAACTCTGTCCGAGTTCTCATCCTGGCTCTGCCCTCAGGGCCTGCGACACCTGACCCTGCTTCTCAGCTTTCTTGTCTGGGAACTCGGCAGCCACAGCACCAGCTCACGGGGTGTCTGTGAGGAGCGGAGGGGAAGCACTTCCGAGAGCCCAGGTCGTACGAAGCACTCAGTCAGCGTCCACCTGCACATGGTGACCATCACTGGTCCAATCCGCATCATTATCCAACCCTTTATAAACCCACAATCTTTCTGAAAGCCTTCCACGTGCCCAGAGCCAAGATGACTCATGTTGATGACGAGGGGGATAAGAGATCCTTCCTCAAACATTAAAAAAGGATGTAACAACCTAAGACACAACTATTGGTCTCTATTTGTCCAGAGCAAAAGAGAAAGGAGGAAACCAGAGACTCAGAGAAGAAACTAGTCCACGGGAACCACGGCCTCACCTATCCAGAGACCAGAAGAACTAGATGGTGCCCGGCTACCACTACCAACTGTTCTAATCAGGGCTACAGTAGATGGATCCTGATAGAATGGGAGCGAAATATGGAACAGAACTCAGACACTTAAAGGAAAAAAAAAAGACTCACTGGACTGATTGAGACTGGATGACTCCCCAAGACTACTGCTCTGAGATACTCTTTCAGCTTTGAACCAACACTAGCCCCTCAGGTCACCCTGTAGCTGAATTACAGACTGGCTCACAAAATAAAGAGTATCACCCATGAGCACTGCGCTCCTTTAAAAAAATCATCTATATAAGATCAAATTGTCTACAGTTACTTTAAAACAAAGATGGGAATGTAAGGGGGTAGGCGAACTAGTTTAATGGGAACAGAACAACCAGAACAGAAATAATGAGAATGTTCACACGTTGTGAAGAACGTAATGTCACTGAACAATCTGTATAGAAATTGTTGAATGGGAACCTAAAAAAAGGCTATAAGCAATAATGCACAATATCACATTCCGTATGTCAGAAAACCAGGGCTCTGTGATTGCATGTGGCCTCCTACCCACTAACCACACTACCTAATTAACCGCAATCCCACTGTCTGCCCCAGCCAGATCCTGAGCTCCCAAAGGCGCAGACGGGGCCGTGGTCAGCGCCAGCCCCAGTCAGACCCCCAGCACAGCCAGCAGGACGAGTAGTTGCATCCCGGACCGAGGCCTGGGCCACAACAAAGGTTGCCAGGAGCCTTTCTCCACGGCCCAGGCGGACACTCTCTGAGCACAAAGACAACACCAGGGCCTCCTGGCTGTTCCGGGTCCAGTCAGAGTCAGCAAGGGCCCAGTCCAGTGCTCGATCAGCAAGTTGTGCAGAATTCTACCCTTGACACGTCAGAATCAACGCAGCGGCAACTGGTCACCTCGGGGAACCACCTGGCCATTTGCTCAGGACCCAGGGGTTTCCCCAGACGCAGGACCCTCAGTGCTGCGATCACCGGGGAAGTCCTGGGTGAACCGGGACAGCCGGTCACCCCAGTGTATGTGTCACATATTGGACACAAACTCACTTCTCAATGACTGCACAACAGCCCACCTTGTAGATGAGTCATAATTTTTCTCCCAAAACCCCTGTTGTTGGAGACTTACGTTGTTTCCAGGTTCACATTTTATAAATACATTGTTATAAATCCTTCATGATTAAAACCTCTTTTCTTAAAAAAATAAGCACTCAGTAACGCTCCTGACCAGCTTCAGCAGGACCACGGCTGGCGCCTGGCTGAGCTTCTGCTGAGCACGGACCGTCAGCTGACAGACACAGGCGCCCCCCTGCCCACCTTTGAGCCCTGCTTCACAGCCTGAAGGATTATCTCCACCACGGTCGTGGTCTTCCCAGTGCCAGGAGGCCCGTGGATGATGGCGAGCTCTTTCTGGGCCAGCGCAAAAGAAACCGCTTCTTTCTGGGAAGTGTCCAGGGAGGTGTTGTAGAAGGTTAGCGGGTCTGGAGAAGAAGCAACAGTGGTTAGACCCCAGCTCTCCCTCACCCGGCACTCCTTCCTCTCAGAGTGTGCACTGAGGGAAGGCAGCGATGCACACCAAGAACAACCTCCCCAGGAGGAAAACTCAACACGAAATAATCTGCTTTGTTTTCAAACAACTTCTTCCAGAACAGGGAACAGCAAACTGCAGCCCATGGGCCAAATCCAACCCACTCTCTGTTTTTGTAAATAAAGGTTTATTGGCACACAGCCACACCTCTTCATTGACATATTGTCTATGTGGCTGCTATCCAGAACAATGGCAGAGCTGAGCTGCAAAAGAAACCATAGGCTCACAAAGCCTAGAATATTTAACATCCACCCCTTTACAGAAAAAGCTGGCCAACTTATGCTCCAGAATAACAGACTTTTCTGAAGTAAATGCTTCCTGGAACATACCACCTTCTAACATATTGTCCCTTTTTTAAGTGTCCAAAAAAATGACACAGACAAATGACAAATACAACTAATAACAAATCCCAGGATCGTGTTTCTATTTTAAATCTCCCATGACAAGCCAATTTGTTTCTTCTGCTCTGTCTGCTTGAGCGCGGGGACCATGCGTTCAGCTGTGTCCCCAGTACCTGGACACAGAGATGTCAGTAAGCGAGTAAGTACGGCTTGAACAAACCTGACAAACGGTTACAACACTGGAACGTGGGGTTGGAATGGTCCGTCTGATCTAAAGCTCCAGTGTCCACTCTGCTGCTCCTCATTGCAGCCCTCTGTCTTTAGCTACCAGCTATAATTAACACACACCATGTTCCTTAACACGGAGTAACCACATTTCTAATTCTGTGTCAAGCACATAGTAGCCCCCTGTCTTAGTTATCTAGTGCTACTACAACAGAAATACTATAAGTGGGCGACTTTAACAAACAGAAATTTATTTTCTCATGGTTTAAGAGGCTAGAAGTCCAAATTCAGGGCACTGGCTCTAGAGGAGGGCTCTCGAGCTCTCTCTGTTGGCTCTGGGGGAAGGTCTTTGTCTCTTTCCAACTTCTGTCCCTCAGTTGCTTGGGGATCTTCATGTGCTGTGGCATCTGTCTTCCCCCATCTGTGCTTCCTTCCTGTGCCTAAGCTGCTCCTTTTACATCTCAAATGTGATTGGCTTAAGACTCACCCTACGTGGACATGGCCTCATTAACATAACAGAGAAAACCCTATTCCCAAATGAGATGACATCCACAAGTACAGGGGTTAAGATTTACAACACATATTTTTGAGGGACACAATGCAATCCATAACCTCTCAATAAATATTAGCTGAAAAAAAAATGGTATTATTGAAATGTGAGTGCTTTTGCAATTGCCAAAGGCAAACACAAAAAGAAAATGCATATTCATAAGACAATAAATCATGAAGACCGAAAGCTGAAAAAGCACTACAAAGCAGCCCTGTATTTTTAAAGCTAACACTAACACAGGGGTGATATACAATGGCTGTGGGCTAACCTTCACACTAGACTTGACCCAAGTCACTGCTGTAAAAACTGACCAAGTCCAACATCTATAGGACTAGATGACTCATACGCGGCCGCCTGAAGCGATACAAACTCCCCTCAAAAACGACGTTCCTCAAGAGCACTTAAGTACATAGACCACTGAAAGTGAAAAGTGAAGAGTGGGGGGGTGTGTGTGCATGTGTGCGCGTGTGCGTGTAACAGGTACATTGTTCTATATGCGTATAGGAAAAAGACTAGAAAAATACACATCAAATACTACTGGGGCTAACTCTAAATGATTGGCCTCTGTCCCCCAAAAAGAAATGTGGATGTCCTAACATGGCAGTCCGAAGCCCTGTACCTGTGAATATGACCCTTTGGGGAAATCGCAGTTTTCTTCTATTATGTTAACGAGGCCATGCCTGTGTAGGGTGGCTCTAAACCTAATAATCACTCCTGAGTGGTGTCTATAAACAGGGCAGAATAGACACAGGGACACATACGGGGAAACGCCATGTAAGGACTCATCTACCAAAGGCTGCCGGCAGGCCCCCTAAACTAGGAGACAGGCCGGCAGAAGACTCGACAGACACGGCCGAGACCCTGATTTGGACTTCTAGCCTCCAAACCTCCTTAAAGCCACCTACCTGTGGTACTTCTGTTACAGCAGCACTGGCAAACTAAGACAACATATTTTTGAGTGATTTTTTTCCCTTTGTTTATATGCTTCTTTATTTCTAAACTTTTTGCAACAGTTTAACAGTTGCCTGCTGACCCCACGTGTGTCAGAGTAAAACTGGGCTCCATAACGTTTTCAGTGGTAGATTTTTTGGAAGTAGATCACCAGGCCTTTCTTCCGAGGTGCCGGTGGGTGGACTCAAATGGCCAACCTCTCAGTTAGCAGCCGAGCACGTCTGCACCACTCAGGGACTCCACAGTCAGGAACAGACTATCTTTAATTTAAAGGACGTTGAGAAAAGAATCAAATGCTTGTAGAATTGAGACTTTTCACACAAACATCAAGCATAAAGTACAATCAGCTGTCCTCTAATCTCACAGAGTACCGAGCGAGAAGAAATATCCCTATATTTCAAAATATGATGTTTAGATACATTAGAAAGAATATTTTAAAAAACCATGGAATTAGCTACTTTTAAGTACTGAGAACAAGAATCTAACGCACACAAGTCGCGCAAAGACATTCGTAAAAGGATGGTAAGGGTAGATTTCTTCTAACTATACATTTTCAAACGCCTGCTAAAACGGCCCGAGGTCTTGTTCTAGATGATTTCAATAGTAGTTTCGCTTGAAAAAGAAAAATCTGAAGTTCTTACGTGTGACATCAGCAGGACTGGGGTCTGAGCCCCCGAAGAGCACTTCTATGAGGGAGGTCGCTGGGCCGGAATGGTACTTCTTGAGGGCAAGCAGAGCTCTGCCAAGAGAGGAGAGGGAGGTCAGGAGCTCAACTGGCCATTCCGG